ACAGGGTTGCTATGGGTCAGAACCAACTCCATGGCACCTCACAACAGCAACAACATTATAATAATCATATTTATATAATTTTTATTATATGAATTCGCTGTTTTGCATTCAAAAATCTGCTTTTAGTAGACATATATATTACTTACTTTTTAACATTTTAGATGGCACTTCATGAACATTATTTTTATGTATAAGATGCATATGTGACTTAGTAAATAGAGCTTGACAAGTTGGTAAGAAAAGGCAAAATTAGAGAATTTTTTTAGGCAAAATTTAAGATATGTTCAGGAAATAGGGAAACTGAGTTTGACCGAAATAAGTTTGGGGAAATAGTGGGAAATATGGTTGGAAAAGTAGGTATTATACAGGTAACAGGATAGAATCCACCTCCAACCACAAGTGAAGCCGCACAGAAATGTATTGGTTTAATGGCTAGGCAGCCCAGGGGTACCTAGATCTAGGGTTCAGATAATGCTACTTCATCCCGTTCCTGTTTCCCTTCATCCTTCCATCCCTCCCCTGGTCTTAGCACTGATTATCTCTGGTTCTTTGCATGTTAACATAGGGAGAGAAAGAGCCCCCTGGCCCCTCCAAACCAGCATCTAGCAGCTCAGGGTAGATGCCAGGGGAGGCCTCTTATGGGCGTTTGTGGGTCAGATGTCTATGCTTAGGCAGTCCCTCTGAGTACAGGGATGGAGGTCTGTAGGATACAGATGAGAAGCACCAGCCCACCTCTAAGCTAGGGAATATGTGGGAACTATTGTAGACGGTCCCACTAGAGCCTATGAAGCAGCAGGTAAAGTAGATTCCTCAATAGGAAGATGGCCCTACGTAGACATCCACTACAATGTTTTTGAACCTGAATTCTCCTCGAATGCTCTAGGTGAGTCTGAAGTGGCATGGTCTGTGACAATAGATAAGAGAAGGATGAAAAGCATTAGGCTAGTTGAATGGTCAACTTCTGACGGTATCTCCTCGTAAGAGCAGAATGAGTCCTTGGGCAGAGCTCTTTAGGTCTTAGAGTAAAAATGGTAAAATCAATTTTGTTCATGTTGATTTTGAAGTATACTCATTTGGAAATATCCAGTAGGGCAGAACCACATCTTACCTGGTTTCTCTTCTTTGGGCCAAGTACCCCTCAACAGGAAATGTTAAGACTCATGGAAATGAGAGCTGCCCAGCTACTCTGATAAATGGCTGCCTTCCTTTATTATTATTTTTAATGTTTTATTGTGAATTATGTGGTAGTTTACATGGGAGAACATTAGTTTTACATCCATCCTATCTTATATCGTTTCATTGCCATGGTTACGATCCCCTCCATGCATCATCAGCCAACCAAAGGGTATACACTACAAGCCTGCCCCAGTCATCAGCACACAGCCCCGCTCCCTCTCTGGATCTAAAGTCCCCAATTGCTCCATCTCTCCTGAACTATACCAGAAGCCTCTTTCTGAGTCCTTATTCTTTTAGCTTCTTTTTACCTAAACATTGTTTCCAGAGAATAATGCTTAACTTTTTAGGTTGTCTCTGCCTAGTTCAAAAATCTTAAGTGATTTTTTTGTTTGTTTGTTGTGCACATCATGTTAAGTATAAAAGTTTTAAAATCAAGATCTTTAATTGTCTGTCACCAGAGGTTGCATTTCCATCTTTTATTTCTCACAGTTCCATGTTCTTTGTACATGAATCTTGAGTGGGGTGAATTTTTGTCATTCTGTTGAAACAGACTCTTCCCATTTTTGACCTCTGTTCTCTTTTTCTCCCATGGTGAGAATGCCTCGACTGGAATCAACTTTAGACATTGAGAACTACCTCTGGTTTGAAGAAGCAGTCTAAGATTGTACCTAAGCAGAAAAGAGTAAAAATTCTAGGCATTCCTTAAAATCTGATTCTTTCCATTTATAAATAAGATGTTTCATGTCTCCATTAGCCTTTGTTTGTTGTATTCATTCCACATTTATTATGAGCCAAAGCTTCCGGGCAGGGACTTCAGTAGAGAATGTACTTCCTGCCCCGGAGGGCAGATGTTAGTGCCAGAGACACTTAGTGAGCATTTCACATTAATGTGCTGCTGCTGGAAGCTACACTTGGGGCACTGTGGGCAGAAACTGGGAAGGCTTCGGAGGAGAGGTGGCATTTCTTTCTCAGTGTTGTAGGATGGATGAGTTGACAAGCAAAAAAGGCAGCATTTCAGGCAAAGCGTGGAGCATGAATGACAGCCACCCACTTGCTGTCTAGTGGACTCAGACACTCGATGACCCCATGTGTGTCAGAACTGTGCTTCGTAGAGTTTTCAAGGGCTGAATTTTCTGAAGTAACTCTGTAGCCCTTTCTTTCAAGGTGCCTCTAGGTGGACTCAAGCCGCCAGCCTTCTGGTTAATACTCAGACCAGCTAGGGGATCCTTGGCATATGAGGATTTGGAGTTTTTGGGTAGTGGTGATAAGCTCATAGGTGAAACTGTGGGTTGCATTGTATATGTGTTAGTATTGTTACCTTTTATACCTGTGGCTCTAGGAGGAAGAATGAGCAAAGCAACAGAAAAATGACGACTCTCCTCCCAGTTATTTAGTGACCCAATGCAGACTATGGTCAAGGCCAAGGACCCTCTTAACTACACGCCCGTTCTGGCTCATCACTACAATGCCTGCCCTCTAAGAGACACTCTGGATTTCAAGGAACTGACTCATTCTTTCAAACAACAATAAAGAAACCCCTTTATTGTATTTTTAATCAAAGAACAAACAACATTTAAAATTGCCCATATTTTGGAATCTTTCAGGAGAAAAATAAAAATAGTTTTTTTAGTTAGGATGCCTAGTAACAAAATTTTAAACTTAGATGTGGTGGTTGTGTGCCGTTGAGTCGGTTCGGACTCATCGTGACCCTGTATAGATTTACCGAGGCTGGGAACAGAAAGCCTCATCTTTCTCCCTTGGAGCTGCTGGTGGATTCAAACTGCTGGCTTTGGGGCTAGCAGCCCATTGCATAGTGCACTGAACCACCAGGGCTCCTAAACTTAGAATTTTGCCAAAAATGGAGCATGATATGAGACTAACAGGGAAATGAATTGTAAGTTGAGATGAGTGTAGCTTGTCTTGGTACATTTATAGTTTATATAATAGACACTTTAAAAAAAAATTCTTAAAATACATGAAATTTCATGTTTACTTCTAATCCAGGGAAGTATATTGAGTTCCCTTTGTATCAGGTTGGTTTAAAAGGTAGACATTGCCTTTTCTGTTGTTGTTGCTCTGCATTAACAGATCATTGCTTACCTGCCAGAGGTTGCCTTAATTTTTGGTGCTGTAGGACAAGCATTGGACCGACCACAAGGTCAGTTTGAACTGCAAAGTCAACAGTTCAGACTCACGAGCCACTCCTTGGAAACCCTATGCAGGGTCCCTATGAGTAGGAACCAACTCGACGGCACTTAACAACATCAACAATGTTAGATGGGGAGCCCTGGTATGGTGCTGTGGGGTTAAGCGCTGGACCTCAAGGTCGACTTGAGCCACAAGGTCGGAGGTTCAAACTCACTAGCCGCTTCTTGGAAACCCTTCACAGGGTTGCTGTGAGTCGGAATCGACTCGACGGCACTTAACAACAACAATGTTAGATGGAGGACCTTTGTGTGGCATCGTGGGATAAACATTGGACTGTTAACCTTGAGGTCGATGGTTCAAACCCACCAGTTGCTTTTAGAAACCCTATTCAGGGTCACAGTGAGTTGGAACCAACTTGATAGCTCTTAACAACAGCTACAATGTTAGATGGCATTCCCTGGGTGGTATATGGTTAACACGTTCAGGTATGAACTGAAAGGTTGGTGGTTCAAGTCCTCTAGTCTGCTTCTGGAAAATCAACCAGTGAAAACCTATGCAGCACAGTTCTTTTCTGAAAGACAGGAGTTTCCATGAGTTGGAATCACTTTAAGGTAAATGGTTTACTGGTTAATATTAGATGAGCCACGTGGGGCAAACATAGCTAACTTCTAGTGCCAATGTGTGAACAAAGGCCATATTTAGCATAGGAAGGTTCTGCTTAGGGAATTCTGTCAAAGGAAATGGGTGTAGTGGCTTAAGGACTGTGTGTTACAAGCTAGCTGGGTCTTGGTCACTCCACAGGGCACGCAGTACAAAGGGAAACACGTTTTTCCTGTGTGGGTTGCTCACAGGTTTATTACATCTTCTGGTAAACCTGGGCTTTAGCTAAACCAAAAAGGTTCAGGAATTCCTGAAAAAACCTTTGAAAGGTTTACTTTCAAAGTAGATGCTTAATTTTTACATTGTTCCAAAAAAAGAAAGAGAGAAGGAAGAGACAACCCAAACTGAATTTTTTGAGTGACATTTTAGCTAAAGTAATAGTGGACATATAGCTTTGTACCACGTTATGCTTAGAAAGCAGATTGCTAAACCAGGAAGCTTGGCTTTCAGAATTCTACAGTAATCCAGGGTGGAAAAAAAAGTATCACCCAGATGCCATTTGTGGATTACTGACTCGTAAGCTTTCCTTGTCCTAGAAGCTTAAGACTGCCCTGGGGTAGCTGTGGTCAGCTGACTGGTTTTAAAAAATCAATAAACTCTAGTTTCTTATTATAATTCAGCTCAGCATCTGACGCTTGCTTGAACTGTTTGTCCATTTGGGTGATATTGCAGAACCTGACGCTCCTTTGTTTACTGAAGCAAGCGGCTCTCCCCTGCCCAGGTGGTTCATTGTTGATCAAAAGTAGCAGCAGGTGTTGAATAGAGCCCCTCCTAAGATTGCCTTGGACAAGTCAATTTATTAAACCAGTCTGCTCAGTTTGTTTGCCCTGAGGGCGTGAAGCTCCCAGAAACAAGTGTCTCCAACTGGGCTGGGAAGCCAGGATCTCTAAACCCTGGGGTTAATTTCTCCAACGAGATCACGCCAGGCAGCGATCCAAGGAGTATGACCAAAATGGGACTTAACTGAAGAATAACAGCAGGTAGCTTTGAAACCATGCATTCTCCATTTGTCTGGAATGGATGGTAGAGACATGGACTTTGAGGAGGACTACCAGTCCCCATTCAATTTTGATGCAGGAGTGAACAAAAGTTATCTCTACTTGTCTCCTAGTGGGAATTCCTCTCCGCCTGGATCACCATGTGGTAAATAATACTTTTGTAAAATTAAGTGTGCTATAATAAAACTTAAAATGTGTGTCTATACACTAGATACTTTTAAAATGCTTAAATGTTTCATGAGTCTAAAGCCGTGCATGTGTGTGTGTGCCCTGTGAGTGAGTGTTGCTGTATTGCAGTTAGTTAACAAAGCTGTTATTGATTCCAAGCAGAGTGTTGATGGCTCATTAAAGATTTAGGGCATACATGTATTGGGGGCTTTGATATTTAAAGTTATTACTATTTATAGGAGTGTTAAAGTTTTTCTCCTCACTCTGAACTCACTGAGCAGATAAATAACAAAAATAGAGGCATATGAAGGCTTTTGCTTCTAGTTGCCTGCGTAACTCTTGAAGACTTCCTTGATTCTGTCTTTGGCTAAATGAGGCACAAGCACCTGAAACACTGATTCAGTTCAGGGTCCTGCTAATAGTATGTCCTGGATTTTGTTCTGAATATTGGAAGTGGCAGACATAAATACAAAGACAGGAGATCTTTAAAACAATAAACTAAAAATGGTTGTACCTTTTGAAAGCAGTCATTAGACAGGGATTACCTGTCCCAGTCCCAGTATGGGATTGTTTCCATGGGCCAGGGTTCCATTCAGTGAGCGTCTTAGTGTATGAGAACAAGGAGGCATAAAGCTGCCAGTTTCCTTATTTTACAGAGAAAACCGGGAGACGGTTCAGTGGTCTGTGAACTCTGCCAGAGAAGCAGCCAGAGTTTCATAACTAAAATTACTTTTTATTTACTAATGAGTAGACCTTATTTTTCTTTCTTTTAGCATGTTGTTGTTGTTGTAAGTTGCCCTTAAGTCAGTTCTGACTCATGGTGACTCCGTGTGTGCAGAGTAAAGCTGCATGGGGAAATTAGAAACAAAGTTCAAGATGGAGCATAAAACCCAGATAAAAATGCTTCTAGGTTTGTGTATTTGCTGTCCTTCCTCTAACTATTGGTTGTAATTGGTACCCATAATTTGGATTTTCAGGAAGGGAAAACTGAAAATAAAGAGAAGCTAGAGTTCTCCGGAAGTTGAGGGCTGGTAGGTGTCGGTTGGGACAGTCAGGTTACTTGGAAGCTCCCTTCATTGTGCCCCTTTCCCGTATATGTGACCCTTCTTGGAGTTCTGTGATAAAGCAGACAGGGAGCTCCCCATGTGCCCTGAGTATAACAGGGTGGCATCATCCATTCCAATGTCTAAATCTTATGTACGGGAAATAATTCAAGAGCAGCACAAACAGTAGAGAATTGTTGTTAGTACTGTTGAGTCAAGAGACTATCACTGTGGAAGGAAGGCCTGACCTGCCTTTGAAAACCCTTTGGAGCACATTCTACTTCGATACACATGGCTTGCCGCAAGTCAGAACTGAAGAGATGGCAACTGTTTAAAAAGTGACAAGGGACCATGACAAGCTTTCTGACGCTGGAGGTGCAACGACATGACTGCAGGTAGACTTGCATGGTCACTGTTTGCTGTGCAAAATTCCCAGGAGACTTTCAGGCTGGCTTCTTGGCTCTTCAGTCCTCCTTGTATCTTTGTTTTAACCTCCTGTTACTTTTCACAGTTCCAGCCATTGGCTGCCTTCAGATGTTCTCTGTTAAAACAGAGGTAATTGTAGGGTTGGGAATGCCTTAAGCAAATTTTGAAGAATTATCTTCTCAATTCTTAGATTCCTAGTAGCAGTCTGTAGGAGCGTGGAGTCATGGAATTTAAAATATTCAAAATTTTCATGAAAAATGGAAGTAAAGGATAATGAAAGTTTTTCTATGAACTTTTTGAAGTTCCACCTTTTCTCTCTCTCTTTTCACACATGGAACTAAAACAATTCATATATTGATAGAAATATAACAACATCAATGTGTTGATTTTGACTTTTAGTAACTGTGTTGGTGTTAAGTGCTGTCAAGTCAATTTCAACTCATGGCAGCCCTGTAATAGAGTTTCTGAGGAGCGACTGGTGGGTTTGAATGGCTGACCTTGCCTTTAGCATTCCAGTGCTTATTCTACATTGCCACACTAGGACCCTATAGCAAGAGTAGAACCGCTCCAGAGCTTTATAAGACTTTAAATCTTTACGGGAGCAGAAAGCCCCATTGTTCACCTGCAGAGTGACTAGTGTATTTGAACCAGTGACCTTGCAGTTAGCAGCCCAATGCTTAGGCCACAGCACTCTGTGTATCCAAAGCACCCTATTTACCTATTAGAGCTCCAATTTCACAGTTTGTTTTAAGTGAAAAAGAGGAGGGCTAAAGCATTCTAGCAAACAGAAAGTACCCTAAGGAGTTATCTGGTAAGAACACCGTGATTCTAAAATATTCAAATAAAAGTGGAGATCTGGAACAGTGATTACCAGTCTCTGTATGCAGAACCCTGAGGGCACAAGAAACTTGGAATTCTGTTTGAACACCACATATGCTACATTGATAGAATGAATGATACGGCTTCTGTATATTTGTGCTCTTTGGATTTATATGTAGATGCTCTTATGAATGATACATTACAAATACGTTGAAAAGTTCATGTGACTCTTGTATCTACTTAATCTGCAAACAAGAAGTTCTGTTACAAGTGTCCTACTCAGAAAGGTTGGGAACGTTGGTCTAAATATACACATTCTTTGATATTTATCCAAAGTGCCGTCTTGGGACAAATGACTTTAAACTGTGGGTAATATACTCTTAAAAATCAATCTGAATGAAGGATAGGATTAGGGCCAATGGCTGGAACAAAGAGGGGTCTTTTAACCAGGATGTTAAAACTTTTCAGAAATACCTATGTATCTTGGCTGAGAATCCTACCTATAACTGGAATGAGAACTGAACCTTCCTATGTATGATATACTCTGGAATGTTATACTATTCCATTCAGAATATGGAATGTGAATTCCAGCAGGGGATACGATTTTGTCCTTTTCATTCATTACCTTTTCCCAAGAATTAGTGCTAAAGCATCTATTGCTTCACTAATATTTGCTGAATGAATGAATGAATGAATGAGTGAATGACACTGGTAAGGATGAGTCCACATCACACTCCAGTTCATTTCACAGATGTGAAAACTGAGGCAGAGGAAGGTGGTGATATCCCCAAATCACAAAGCTTAATTAGTGTGTACTGTGGCTAGCACTCATCTCTCAGTTGTCAAATGTCCCCCACCCCCCCCATTTTTTTTTAATGTTTTATTGTGAATTGTGTGGTAGTCTACATGGGAGAATATCAGCTTTACATTCATTCCATCATCCATCATTTCATTGGCATAGTTACCATCCCGTCCACGCATCCTCACCCAACCAAGGGGTGTACCCTGTAAGCGCGCATCCTCCCCCCCCCACCCAAGGGGGTTCCCCCTTAAGCCCCCCCCCCCCCCCCCCCCCCGCCACCACAGTCCTCGGCCCCTTTCCATCTCCTGATCCCGAGTCCCCAGCCCCACCATCTCTTGACGTCGTCTTCTCTGCCTCCATCTCAGGCCTCACCGCCTCTCTCCACCCCCTTATTTTAACCCCACATTATCTCAACTTCTCTGGTAATAGATGTTGTATTGTGTTGTTCATTGCTGTCTAGCTGACTCCGTCCCTGATGACCTTCTATATAACAGAATGAAATGCTCATCTTAGACCATCTTCATGTTCGGTGTCGTGGCCACTGTGTGCCAATTCATCTCATTGCTGCTTGGATCTGAGAATTCCATTCCCTCTTTGCTGTTGCCGTCCAGCACCTGTGGTCTATTCCAGAAGGACTTGTTGGCATTATATCTTACCTTCTATGAATATTATAAGTATAATGCCCTGAATGTAGTATAAATAGTAAAATGCCCTCTCTTCCTACAGCTCTTAAGAATTATCTAATTTATAGGAAGGTGCAGCATTGGTTTGTATTTGTATTGGTTATTTCTAGTAATTCCAGAAATTACAGCTCATTTAAAAAATCTGACATTTTATTTTGAATGCTGTCATATTTGGAATTCCATAAAGCCTTGGAAAATCAAACTAAAATTCCTTAGCTCATAGTGTGTTCTTTTTTTTAATTGGTTTTACCCTTTTTGATTTTTGTTAGGGAATTGGCTGTCTCTTATTGAGAGTTGTTTTTTTTTTAATGATGGCAGGAGTCATAACTATGTTGTACAAAATAAAAACCAGAGCTGAACTGAAGAGATGTGAAACTTCCCTAATAGTCAGAGAGGAGACTTACGGAAGGAAGTGACTTTCTCTCTGGGGATCCCCAAATGTCTTTGTGATTGACTTTTTGACCTCTGTGGAGTGCCCCCTTACTAGTTTTGCACTAGATGGGGGTGGTGGTGAGAGGCTGTGAAGATTCTGTCTCCTCTGGTTTTTAGTAAGTTTAGAAGGTAGCAAGTAAAGTATTTGATAATACTAATATGTTTTGCCTTTGGAATCTTTTCTTCCACCTTCACTCTACTCTAAAGTGACGTTTTGGGAGGTGACCTTTCTTCTGGGAACTTTTTTTCTCATTGAATCCCAGAAGCTCTTCCATACCCGATTTGGCTCCTAAGATTTCTTTACACCTAAGTGTATCAGCCCTCCCCACCTCAGTCTGCTGCCTTTCTTATCTCTTTAAAGATCCTGACCAAAAACCAGATGCCCTGGAGTCCTTCCTGACTCAGTGTCACCCCATGAGTGTCACAGTAGAATGGCTGGTTTTCCAGAAGTAGATGGCCAGGCTTGTACCTCAGAGGCACCTCTAACCTGCACTCTTTGTCAGCCACTATGCAGGTTTACCATCTGCACTACCCAGGGATCTCTTGGGGGCTCTATATTTTCCTCACGGTGTGGGTCCTGTTGCCTCAATTTCTTTTCTTTTTTTCTCTGCTCTCTCAACTATAGTTGCTCATTTTTCTCTCTTAGGGTTTTACTTTCTCATGAGTAAATATGGAGTCTTCAGAAATTAGTCTTCTTGATGCTTGATACTGAATCTCTGTTAAGCAGCAGCTTTTAGCTCTTTGTGTCCTTTTAATTGCTCTCTTGCTT